GAGGTTAAAGAAACCGGCCCAACAAGTTAGTAGAACCACTGAGGCCCAATAAACTTACAGAAGGTATCCAAATTGGATTGAGCGCACGAATTTTCTCAAGCACTCTATTTTCCTTGAAGGGAAAACAACAAATTTAAGCCTTGCAGCAACATTGAAGTCGGAAAAAACAAAAAATTATGTAGATTTTACAAAATAAAGGCTATACCGGAACTGACCAATTTTGATTCGGTTCGGTTTGGTTCTGGCATTGTACAAAACCTCCATTTTTATTGGTACTGCGTTTTGTTTAGGGACTGGTTCGTTTTGATACGTGAAATGTAGTAGTTTACATATGATTTAATCTATATTGGTGTATGAAATTTGCATTCTTTGAATCGATTCTTTGGCTATGTTCGAGTTGGTGTTTCACTTTCATAGTGAAGTTCAGACTTGCAGACGAACAATATGAATTTGTTTTTAACAAATGACGTTGTTAAACGAGTTTGATAATGTTAAGTTAGGTTCGTGAACCATGTGACATGTCTCAGCCTTGCCTATAGAGGTAGTGTCGAGTGGCTACTAAGAGCGTTAATTCATACTGGGGACGGCGAAAACAACCAAAAACAAGAAACTATAGAAGACAGTTCCTATATCTCCCAGAGCACAAAACAAAGGATAGAAAGAAAAACACTACACACAATTCAAATGCATATCATTCTACTGAAAATGGCTTGGAGTCTATTAGTAATTTTTGGGGACAACTATATGCAAACAATCAATTAAAAAATCAATTCATGTAGTTGGAATTGCAATGGCAGACAAGGTCAGCGAGGATGTAATGATAATCACTATGCAGCAATGTTAGAGAAATTTAGGTTATAATTAGTTGAAAATTTGATTTGGAAGTGAAGATTTGTAATAGATGTGGTAATTTGTAGAGAAATTATAGACAAAATTTGAAGAACAAGATGGTTAGGATTTTGGTGAAAGGGTTTAGGGAGAGAGTGAGAGCAAAGACTTGAGATATGCTGCGATTTTGTTAAAAAAATAAATAAATTGCCCAAAAGTTGGGGGATCGCCTGACCCCTATGCACCACTGTGTCTGCCAATCATTGATTTTCACAAAAATATATTGCAACTATTTCAGTTACTTTTATGTTTCATTCTACAAGGGACCTGTAGAAAGTTTCAAATGATTATAGTACACAACATTTTATTCTGTTATGCCTTTTATCTAACAGGATTCATCAAAATCTAACTGAGATAACTCAAATGACATTAACAGCTGTGAAAAGCAGAAAGAACATAAAAATTGCTGGTCGTAAAGAAGTACACGGTTTTGGAACCACCTCAGTATAGCAGCTCTTCAAAAACAGGATCCA